TGGATGTTTTGTTATATAAGGTTGGATGAACTCAAATAGTTAACGACAGTCATTTACACGTCGCTCCTTTGTAATAATGACGTGGATAATCAACGGTTCGTTTTAGCTGATTTTTTGAGCAGCATAAAAAAATCTCTATGGATTATTTAATGCCACAATTTAAATATAATTAAAACAATTATATGGTTTCAATTAAATACATTTTGAACGCCAGTGCATGCCTTCAGCTAGAGATAAAATATATTCTTGGTAATTCTGCTAAAAAATGTATTGCTGGTAATTTTGCTTTAAAAATTCATCGTTGGTAATTTTACTGTGCAAATGTATTCTTATACTTTCATAGTGTTTTGTTTTTGTTTAAAGGGGTTCACTATTTGCCGAAATCTGGGATCCTAACAGGTGCTACGTCCCCGGGTTATGGTAGAACTGGGAACAACAGCAATTAAGAGGTAGTTACACGCTCCTCAAAACATCCATTCCTTGCTACCGGTTGTAGTTCATCATCATACCCAGGACTTGAAAATCAACGGGGATCCACTTCACTATAGAAAAATCGCTGTAATTTAAAAAAAACATATGGAGCTATTCTTTATCCGTATAAGGACACCCTTGGAATGGGTGTCTAGTGGCGATCATCCATTGACTTCCTGTAGCAAAATCACGATAGAAACCTGATCATGAACACTGCAACAATATCGACAGTTATACAAGAAATGAAAACGCTGAATTTTAACATTGTGGTGGTACGCATAAAGATATTTAGAATGTTTCAGAAAGAACAAACAATAAGTTACATGCTTGAATGCGATCTGGAAAACAGAGCGAAGCGATTAAAACTAGTAATCGCCCTGCAATGTTGATTCCTATGACCAACCTTTGCCACTATCTCTCTCTATATATTAATTCAAATGTTATTTTTAGTGGATAATCGTTTTCAAGTAGAATCTCCGTTTATTTAAATCAGTCGTTATTTCGTTTACCGGCCTGTGTACTCGAAAAAACTTAGAAAAGAAGGTGAGTACTTCCAGCAGAAGGGCAAGAGGGTTCGTGTCCAGACAGAGGGATCACTGTCTTTATTAAGTTGTCTCGGATACGCTGGCCTTTTGACGAAATAAACACTGTTTAAAATAAACGGACGTCTACTCAAATATGGATATCTTCGAAAAATAAAATTTGAAGAAATAAGAAATATGTCTGATTAAAAAATAAAACCCCATTAATATATATATATATATATATATATATATATATATATATATATATATATATATATATATATATGTATATATGTATGTATGTATATGTATTATAATTATTTTTTTTAAAATATGATTCCTTCGCTACATAAGTGTTCTCATGTTTCAAAAACGAGAGCCGAAACCATCGATATAATTATTAAAATGAATTTGAACAAGTCCTGTTTCATCCTCAATCGAAAATTCAGGGATAATTGGTTTTTGAAATTTACGTATCATTATAAGCGTGTTCATTCGTTACTATGGAAACGGCTGGTGCGACCATTTTATCCCCATATCAGTCACCTTCAGGGAGAGGTCAAGCTAATGTTCTGTAGAGAGCACTGTTTTTTTTTAAATAAAAACAAAAATACTAAAGAAAAGATTATTTACCCAACGTGTTCTTTTTATTATTTTCTACATACCTGCACTCCTTTTACACACACACACACACACACACACACACACACACACATATATATATATATATATATATATATATATATGAGGATATATATATATATATATATATATATATATATATATATATTTCTGCCTAAATTTATATATATATATATATATATATATATATATATATATATATATGCATTTAGTGCATTTAATTCCCTCATTTATACATGTTTCATTAAAGACGACAGACAAGGTAATGTGATTAAGAGTGAGTAGAAACTACAAATGTTCTGTAATTTTGAACGATTTCATCTATACTGTAGACATAATCAAAGATAATTTCATTTTTACATTTTACCTGAATGTATGGGTTGTGTGTGTATCTAGAGTTATAGGAATGTTTTATTTTTCCAGATACCGTCAGTACATTGTGTTCCTATTAGTAGTTAGTCATTGTGTGTCGAGTTTTTTTCTCGTTATTTTTTCTCCAAATTCTAAAATGTACAAAACCAACGCAATGTATGTTAACGTCACTCGATGTTGAAAATTTATTCACAAACATCCGCATCGATAAAACGATTGACATTACCCTCAACTCAGTTTACACAAATAATCCATCCATCAAGCCACTACCCCAAAATATATAAATCGGCTACCCTTATCCTAAAAAAAAAACAACATACCTGCAAAATCAAAACTACAAAGAAAGAACTTTATTTACGAGTTTATATATCTCTTGTGTTACTGATTAAACCGAATTCATAAATAATTACATTGGTCACATAACTACATGCCTATCTCAACCACTTACGTTACACTTGTCCAAACTCAGCTTGATTAGAACCCATTTAAACACACATACAAACTTACGAGATTCCATACGAAAAATACTAGTAGAAAATACATGCATAAGAACCTCATCTACATGTAAATAAATGTTAAAAATAATGGAAGCCTTAAGAATAATAATAAAAAAAAAGCTAACACTCAATAATATTAAAAACAAACACAACCACAATATGCTGGGTTCGTAAATGAAAAAAATGCCTACAACTCTACATATACAATACCACTCATCTAGTTAAAAAGTCAAAATAAAATCATCCTTGATAATGGCTAAATGTATAGCCGAAAGCGCTCGGAATTACAGAATACTCTGTGTCTAGAAAGAAAACACTTGTTCGAACACGAGAAAATTAAATAAAAATCGCAGTACCTTGTCTTTAATAAAGCGTATATATATATATATATATATATATATATATATATATATATATATATATATATCATAAAGTGAGCGTATATATATATATATATATATATATATATATATATATATATATATATATATATATATACACAATCCGTTTCAAAAGTATTGCCAAGTTTATATTTTTCATTTTGTCCAAACTGTACCAGTCGGTATTAAACGAAATTTTCGCAATTTCATGTTAATAGGTATATGCGCAGACTGTATAAAACTTCATTGTTCTGCGCAACAGAACGCACATTTTGGCCATTTGCAATATTAACACTATACAGAAGTGTTCCAGACTATATACGAGTGTCATTATAATCGTGCAATTATGGATCGCAAATGTGACTTGATCCCTTCTGAGAAAGCTATTGTAACATCTGAACTTTCCAAACGCAAATCTACATTAGAAATATCCAAAATAATTGGAAGATATCTCACCAACGTGTGAAAAAGATTTGTTGCTGCTCCTACGAAGATACGTAAGAGGGCCCATAAAATTCACCGATTGTTGTTTACCGACTTTATTTGTCACTTATGAAACATGAAACGTAAATAACCCAGGCCTGACTAGTGGAGCACTTTTCTGGCATAAGTTATCCTTGATTCTAAATTGGCGGCCATTCTCATCAGCATTAGTGATGCATCAGTGTCCAGAAGTACTCACTATCGTCTTCTGAAAATGGTCCGGGGATCAGTGACAAAGCCTCGATTGAGAAAAGTGCCTATGAATGAAGGTCGATTTCTCGAATGTTCTGTTCACAGATGAAAGTCGTACAACACTTGATGGCCTGATAGTTGAAGAAAAGGTTCAGTCATAAATGGACGAGATCTTCATCAACGCTTGACACGCCAAAAATGAGAAGGAGGTATTATGATTTGGGCTGGTATTATTGAAGTTTTCATGGTTGGTCTGTGGAGAGCGGCTGACGGTACAAAATAACCGCAGATGCTTATACAGACTTCCTCAGAGAGCACGTGGAATCCTGGCTAAAAAAAATCAAAGAATCATCTTTCGGAGAATCATCGTATTTTTGCAAGATAATTCTCCTTCTCATTCAGCGCATAAAAATATGCAGTACCTGCAGAAATTAGGCTTCTCTGGACCTTGGAAGATGAACAACCCGGTCAATTCTTCAAACCTAATTGAACATTTGTGGGGCATTCTGAAGCGACGTGCTTATGAGAATGGCCGCCAATTTAGAAGCAAAGATGGCTTATGCCAGGAAATAGTGAACGCATCACGTGAAATAACATCAGAGGAGATCCAGAAATTGACAGGTTCGATGAACCAGCGCCTTTTTCAAGTGATGAAAAAAAAAGATCACATATCTCATATTAATCAAGTCCACTATCATTTTTGAACTCTGTATACTTCTTTATTTCTATGTAATTTCATCTTAGTTACTGTATGTATCCATAAAAATCTGTAAATGAAACTGTTAGTGTTATTTTCTTTTTTTTCCAGGGATTTTTTTTACATCTCGGTAATAATTTGACACAATAATAACTGAATTAAATTAGGTAAATGAGTGTAACTTCTGTTCCTTTTTCTAGAACCTTACAATTTTTATGAGTAGGTGTATATAGATGTTGTCATCATTCACTGATAATTTCGTTAAATTCTTACCATTATTTCGATACGATGGAAAAGTGTCACCTCCTTAATAGTTTGAAATGCAGTATCTCTCTCTCTCTCCTCTCTCTCTCTCTCTCTCTCTATATATATATATATATATATATATATATATATATATATATATATATATATATATAAAGTTATGAAGAACTTGGTAATCCGTATGGGTAATCCCAAGGAGGATGAAATCCGGAGAGCTCAAGGTAAATCCAGAGCTAATATTTAATGTTTTTTTTGGGAAGTGCTATCTGATGATCCGGCGTCCTTTAAAAGGGCTCTGGTGAAATAAATTATTATAATGGTATCTTAAAGTGGTCTGTTTTTCTTTTAAATATATATATATATATGTGTGTGTGTGTGTGTGTGTGTGTGTGTGTGCGTTACTAGCGACAATTTAGATAGATGAATCAGATACTATTAAATAGGTGAAAGTAATATTTCGTAAAGAGTAAAATATTACCTATCTAATATATGATGTAGTGTATTTTCTCTGATAGAAACACACTTAAGAACAGACTGGGATAGATAGATAGATAGATAGATAGATAGATAGATAGATAGAAACAGCCTTATAAAACGATACTGACAGACAAAAAATAGATAGATAGATTTATGAAAAGACATAGGTAGATAGAAATGGACTTATGAAAAGACCTATATATATATATATATATATATATATATATATATATATATATATATATATATATATATTGGTTACTATTATGTTACATTCAAAATATATTTCTATACATATTTTACATTGTTTATATTGTTTTAACTGTTGAACAACGTTTCAGTACTTGTGCGCCTTGTTGGGTGATATTTCTTTGAATTTCGAACCAAATCCAGCATCATCAATGATTATACTGGTGTTTCTGAAAATTGGTTGAATGACGTTTTTGCATGCTTCTCAATGACTTCACTGAGTGACACGGAAAGGTGACGGTTATATGTTAGCCCATTTCAGGAAATAAACATGGGGAGAACGTTACACAAACGCCAGCGAAACAATCTTCAGAAATAGCCAACATACAGAATGACTATACTGTATTCGTAATTCCAACAAATATTATCCGAAGAAGGCCGGAGCGTACAACGGCAGAAAAATTGTAAATGTGAAAATAAAGATGAACACAACACCCCGAACAATTTAAATAGGGTAAATAGTTAGAATATTTTATCTCAGAATTATAGACAGACATTTAATTTTATCAGATAATTTATTTCAGTTTTCACCACAAATAAACTTATACAGATGGATAAATTGTCGTCTAAATTACGCAAAAATGAAAATAATATTAATGCCGCATTTTGTCAGATATATTTACCAGAATTACTCAAAAATATCTTAAAATACTAAAGTGTAAATTTATTCAATAAAATCTCCATTGGCTTCAACTACGGCCTCCAGATGACTTCGGAATGTCCTGCATCTCTTCTTGGCGGTGAATTATGTCATAATCCTTGCCTTCAGTTCATCTTTGGTGTTACGAGGAGATTTGTTGGTTTCTCGCTCAACTGAGCCCCACACATAATAATCAAGGGGGTTGCAGTCTAGGGAGTTGTAAGGTATGGTGTGATTCAGAAATTGTCTGATAACGATGACTGGGTTCTCCTGGCGGAGTGACATGGAACAGAGTTCTGTTGCCAGATATATGGTATTCCAGCAGCCACCCTCTTGACCTAGAGCAGCAATCCCTCCTCAAGGCACTTGATGTATGCATCGGTGTTTTATCTGAGGCCCTGTGGGAAGATGAATGGAGATATAACATCGCCATCACTAATGATCGCGGTAAACACTATGATGTTGACCGGATATATCATGCAACTCTTTCCGAATCCTCAGATTGGCATCCAAACACTCTGAAAGGTTCGTATTTGAGATTCCGGCGCGAACGCCAAGCAGCACAGCATACCAGTTATCAAATTTCTGGCGCAGCGAATTGCGTTATGGTGCTCTTTGTCTCACAGACAGTGCCCAAGTGACAGTACTATACTGTGCAGTCGACAAGATCAAAAACAAACAATACGCATGCGCGAAATTAAAACATAAAATGGCGATAATTTACGAATCGCAACTTTTATAAGTAAGTTTAAAGATACATTTATATACCCATAAATAATTATATTTAGATATAATACAAACTAGTGAGATATTAAAATTATTATTTATGTACATTTAAATTTGAGTTCATTTTACCGCTAAAAATTTTGTGTGTGTATATAAAGTGTGTTTCATTAAGACGGATCAAAGTCAGCAGTAAATAAATCAGTGTTATTTGTGAAATTTTATTTATTTCTCTGTTGGATCATGTTATTTAAGTCATGGCAATTATGTGTGAAAAATAATATCTCCCAAATATCCATTAAATCTGAAAGAAAAAGAAAAAAAATCATTAGACGCTTAAATTCACATTTAAATCGGTCAAATTCAATACATTTAATATATAAATATATATATAAAATACCACGAACAAATTATAATATATATATATATATATATATATATATATATATATATATATATATATATATATATATATATATTGTCCAATGCATCCTATATATCCACGAACAAATTATTAGCGAATATATAAAGATATATATATATATATATATATATATATATATATATATATATATATATATTGCCCAATGCATATTTTCCTATATGTATCCACGAACAAATTATTAGCGAATATATGATATAAAGATATATATATATATATATATATATATATATATATATATATATATTGCCCAATGCATATTTTCCTATATGTATCCAAACAAATTATTAGCGAATATATGATATAAAGATATATATATATATATATATATATATATATATATTGCCCAATGCATATTTTCCTAAATATGTATCCACGAACATATATATATTATATATATATATATATATTGCCCAATGCATATTTTCCTATATGTATCCATTATATATATATATATATATATATATATATATATATATATATATATATATATATATATATTTGCCCAATGCATATTTTCCTATATGTATCCACGAACAAATTATTAGCGAATATATGATATAAAGATATATATATATATATATATATATATATATATATATATATTGCATTTTCATGTATCCACGAACAAATTATTAGCAAAGTTCATATGCGCACATCTATTCTATCTTTTAGTTCTCTTTTCCCTGTCGTTGTATGTGTGCGTATGCATGAACTCGTGAGAGTGATCGTTTGCCTTCAGTGGCTTTGAGCTGTCAAAGTACATTTAAGCGCCTATCTGTCAAACAAATCATCACAAGAAACCTTTAATGGATTCAGTAAATGGCGCGAACTGAAAACGGGGGTGTGGAGGGAATGAAACAAAGGCAGAAAGAAAAGAAGGTGATTGTGTCTGCGTGTTCACGTGGGCTTCTCTACCCTTCTTTGATTAATGGCCGCCGTATCGAAGTGAAAGGCTTTTTCCCGCCAATCGACTTTGATGCGATATTGACCTGCCGACACACATAGTAAAACCTACGGAGTTCCTTACCCTTCACCCTCACTTGTCAAACAAGCTCCTGACCCCTGACCGTATACACAGAGGAAACCATCACGTTCAACTCATCACCTCTCTCTAATCTTCACTTGTCGTTGCATACATACTCACCCTTTCGCATCACATATACATGCACTGTAATTACTATCTATGTTATAGAAATATATCAGGTGAGGATGAAAAGTTTGTGGCCTGACCAAGACAAACATCTCCACCAAAATTCGACTGTTGATTTAGTTGATTTTTTCAATATCTTCTTACATATATATATATATATATATATATATATATATATATATATATATATGTGTGTGTGTGTGTGTGTGTGTGTGTGTTTGCATGTGTGTGTCTGTTTGTGTATGCGTGTGTGTGTGCGTGTGTAAAAGTAAAGACAAAAGGAAAACTGTATTATTAGCCGACGCATTTTGTCCAATGTGGAATTTTTTCAAGGCAAAATCGAAATCAACATATTGGGCGAATAATACAGTTTTCCTATTGTCTTTTACCTTTATACATATTTTCTTTTTCTAGAGGTTAGCTCTGAGAAATTTTTCATATATATATATATATATATATATATATATATATATATATATATATATATATATATTTTTACAGACAATTTTTTTTTTTTTTTAGTTATTTGAATCCGTGATGAAAAATCGATTTCTGTTATTTTGGCTTGATATGTGCAATTACTTAGGACAGAATGTTAGAAGGTTTGAGATGGCGAAGTTCATCTTGAATAAAGTGAAACCTGATTCTGGAATAATATGTATATATTTGGAGTTTATTTCAATGCTTCATGAGTTTCTGATCCTTACCTATGATTAATTAATGATTAATATGTCATTTCCGTTTATGGATTGAATACATTATGACTCTTCTGTTAAGCTTTGTGATTAATTATATTATAATTATTATTATTATACTTATATTATCTTATTGCTCAAAGTAGTGTCGAATAGTTTTATAAAATCCTCGGACTATATATAAACACCGGGTATAACAGCAAAATTGTCCAAATCGTGTAAGCAAAATTGTCGAATTGTTAGATTTATTTTTGAATCATTGTAACTTAGAAATGTTTAAAAATATCTCACTGGAATTCTCCGAGGTTTATATATATATATATATATATATATATATATGCGCAAGTATGCAGAAAAACAGGAAGGAACGCGTTAAGTAAATAATCCGGAGTTCCTTAGTATTTTTATTGTTATTTTTAAGAAGACAGTGATCCATACAGAAGTAGAGCTTATATTATAATATTTTTTTAAAATATGATTCCTGCGCTACATAAGAGTTCTCATGTTTCAAAAACGAGAGCCAAAACCATCAATATAATTATTAAACTTAAGTTGAATTAAGGTGTTGTGTCCCATTTCATCCTCAAGCGAAAATTTAGGAATAAGCTATCTTGTGGTTTGTGCGTGTTTATAAGTATGGTCCATTGCAACATTAATTACTATGGAAACGGCTGGGCCGACCATCTTGGTTAGGTGGTCAGACAGTTAATTCTTATCTATAGATTCGTCACCTTCGCAAAGGTTAGTCCAAGGTAGAGTGGGGTATCTATTTCAAAGCTAATGGTGGCGGTCACCGTCTAGTTAGTTTACAGCGATTTGTCGTCCCGCCATGAAATATCTTTCTTACGCGCAAACTACAAGATAGCTGGTTCCTAAATTATCGAAATGTTATGTAGCGAAGGAATCATATTTAAAAAAATATGATAATTATATATATATATATATATATATATATATATATATAGACTGTTGCTCTTGGGTGTTCACCTCAATGTCCATTTTTATGTTTGCATAAGCTCTATCACTGATACTGACCACTAACCCCATAAATTTAGCATACCTTAAAACCATATTCTTATCCAGGCTGCAACGAATGAATTGTCGTCTAAATAACTGAAATAAATGTAATATCACTGACATCTCATTTTAACAGATATATTTACCAAAATTACCGAGAAAATATCTTGAAATACTAAATACGACCTCCTGACGACTGCGAAATCTCCTGCAACACTTGCAGCAAACATATAATAATCAATGGAG